CTATTGGTAGGGTAGGACGAATCAAACTCCTTGGCTTCATACATTACCTACGTTACCTGGCAAGTATATGTTTTTATTTAGTCATGCATGTTCTTGTTTTTATGAAACATGTAGTTTATTTATTTATTGAAAGGGAAAGTCTTAATTTATGGTTGGTGAAAAAATCTAGAGCATACAATTTTTCGGCATATATGCTAGCAAGTGTTTTGATCAGTTCACATACATAATTAGTACAAAACAATTTTATGAAGTTACTTTGTTGCTTCTGTAGTATGCCCATATTATTTGGGGAAAAGAAAATTAAAAGAATATCATGAATAAAACATTTTAATTCTCTAAAAAATCAAACAAATTTAAAATGAAATTAAGGAGATAAAGTTTTCTAAAGAAGTGATGCCAATGTTTCTGGTAAACCTACAGCTATAATCAGGTCAAATTTAAACCAGATCCAATCAAATCTGAATCCAATCTGATTAATATTAAATCCGAATCCCCTTTAGTGTTTGTAAAGTAAAGAATTAATTAGTCTTTAAAAAAGTAATCACTTTCTATACATATAATAAATGTAGGGTGTTTTCTGCCAAGTCATTCTATAACCAGATTGTTTGGTTTGCTACTTTGAACTCCTGCCTAATCAAAGAATTAAAATCTGGTTAGTAGTAAGGGAGTAAATTTGGTTTGGTTTGCGGCTATAACCAGATTATTTTTCTTTGCCTCTAATAAGTATATAAAATGGATTCGATACAATATATTTCCGGCAGCACAGAATTTCCATTTTTCCATATAGAATAGATAATCTGAAATGAAAACACTTTTAGACATTCAAGCACAAAACCCTGTGCTTTTGGCCTTTGAAAGTACAAATCGTCTAATCCTGAAGTTTATCCCAACACAACCCAAGAAAAGCTGAATTTGTATTTCTTTCCGCCAAGTACATTATAAGTAGATTGGAAGGTTGGAACACAGCGCCCAATACAAGGAAACCAATGTGACAGCTAGTTTCATAATGCTGACTGCTTTTCATAATTGACTTTGTTTTTTTTTTTTTTTTTTCTGGGCTTCTGGAATATCGATCGACCATAACTCACGAAGCCACGATTGATATTGAGATATAAACTGAGTTTGACTTTGCTTGGACAAAAATGAGTCCCCTCAAACTCTACCTAGTGCACGGTTTGAGACTTTGAATTTCTCCACAAAAGCAGGCAAATGGGATTGTGTTTATTGCTTCCTGCTTCTTCCTCTTTTTCTTTTAACTCTGATTGCTTCACGAAAGAGCAAATTTTCGTGCATAACAAAGTCCTCTTTAAGGGTTTCAGTGTTCATCAAAGCTTTTAAAATCAGATCGGATACGGGAACCATTCTCGGGACCGGTTCTTGGGTCAAGTGGTCCAACTGTCCAGTTGGAATGGATGGTATGTTCTGATTTCCGGGTTGACGGATTAACTGTTCAACTGCAGGAGTCAACGGGTCATTGAACAAATAAATGGTTTTCGGCCAGTTCCCAGGGAACACTATGGTTTTGAAAATGGTTTTCGGCCAATAGCGGTTTTAGGGTGAAACAGAATCGTCACCTTATCATTTCCCAGGTCAACTAGTCTGACTGTCCGATCCGGTCCAGTTTTCAAAACCATAGTGTTCATTAAGCTGCATTCATTGATTCATTTTGGAGAAACTATTAAAAATAGCTTTACTGGAAAGTCGATTTTTTAGTTCATGTAAATGCATTTTTAGTGTGTGTGTATTATAGAATGACACCTATAATAGTTTTTCCATTTCATTCAAGGTTCAAAATATCGATACGTCGGTTTTTTATTTTTCAGGCCTTTTTCTTTTTTTTTCAGGCCTTTTTCTTATTTTTTTTTCAGGCCTGATATGCCTGATACGCCGATTCAAAATATCGATACGCCCGATACACCTATAATGCATTTTTGGTGCGTGCGTGGGCGTATCGGGCGAATCGATACAGTTTTTCAGGCCTTTTTTTTTCCGCAACCGGTTCAGGGGGGCCAGTTTAGGTCTCCTCTACCCCCTAAACCGGTCAGACCTCCGATACACCCACTGTAAAAGGCATATCGGAGGGGTCCCAGAATGATACATATCGGCCAATACATGCCAATACGTATTGATACTTTGAACCTTGATTTCATCTTTTTATACTGAACAAGGATTTTATTTTGTTGTTTTATCTGGCTGATAGGTTTTGGTTAGGATTGCCAAATGCCAATTAATGAAGTTTTTGTCCACTTTATAGCCTAGGCTACCCACAGAGTACTGAGCTTAGGAGTAGGGATGTCAGTGGACCGGGTTTGGGTTGGTCCGTTCAAATCAATAATTTGAATGAATTGGATAGACCAATAAGATATATTGGATTGGACCAGTCCAGATTTAATGTATGATCCAAAGTATATATATTGGATTGGAATGAACCTGAAGCATTTGTAATGGGTCTATATTGGACTGAATCGAATTGAACCAATATCCAGTCCATTGACACAATCTAAATTAAAATTATTAAACCAATGTAAACAGTTTGAATAGTCCAAAACTTTCAGTATTCATCAAATTGAATTGCACCTGATCCAGATCCATCTACAATGAATTCATACTGAACGAGATCGGATTGGACCCATATCCAGCCCATTTAACAGTCGTATTTAGGAGCTTGGCTTAAATGAAGCCCCATGTTCCTAAAATTCTAAAATTAGATAGATTTTGTTTTAGTGAGGGCCCTCACATATTGCCATTTTCTTGGATCAGGCGGACAGGCACCGCATAATGCCCCCTCTAACAATCATATTAAATGATTGGTCAATTCCTATTTGATGCGAGACATAGGGAAAATCTATGGTGAATCATGTATTGTCCATTTCATAAAATGTGAACAGTGAATCAATAAAAGTAAGTCGATTTTTCAGATGATTGGACGAGATCTGGATTTAATGCATAAATTCAGTGAGTTTAACTATTCATTTTAGAGATTTTTGGACTCCAATCTCTCTCAAAAATCTGAAATATTACAGTCCCTCTTTATAAATCGCATTTTACTCATGAATTTAGCATTAATGTATAGTCAGGATTCAGTCCACCCCTAGAGTTGAGCTCTAGATTTTTAGGGGTGGACTCAACTATTAAAACCCTTTCATTATTTTATTATTAATTCATCACCTTATCACCAATGAATGAATATACTTGATAGGGATATTTGACCTTCAAAGAGAGAATCTCTCTCTCTCATCAATTTTCAAGCTCGTGGATTGAGTGTGATGGGTTAATATTAGTGTTTTCAACCTGTCCATTAACCTGATCGGTTGGACCAGTGACCCGATGTTCCGGCTACAGTTTTAGTTTGGATCAATGACCTATTCCGTCCCTTTTCAAAAGATAAAATAGAACCTGTTCCATCTGATAATATTGGGTTTTCAGTTTTCTTTTTTTGTTTTTTTATTATCATGACACCATAGATTGACCACTTGGCTAAGAGGAATGAACCAGTGCCCTGTCTATTGAGATGGAAAATCGGTTCAAACCTCTGAATCGGGTTTATAAACACTGATTAGAAGAAATAGACCGCACCAAACAACGAACTTTTCGGTTCTTAGTTACTTAACATTTCGCCCGGTCTGAACAAGCTAATTGGCCAATTAACCGGTCAGACCATGACCCATTCAGCTTTCTGGTTTCCTTCTATCCGGTCCGAATCCGACAACAATTATCGCCATCCATAGATTTTGGATCTTTTAGACTTTTAACATATTTTTATTACCGTGTTTACTTTATTTTGTTAAGTTTGGGCTAGACTTTGAGTGTTTGACTAATGAGCTTCCATGTTCTTCCAATCTGGGTTAAAATTACTAAATTAGGCCCAATATGAAAAATTGTTAAAAGAGTCCAACCCGAGCTATTCCTCACAACCCAAAGTCCATAACTCCATATACCTTTATTATGTCAGGAGCCCGACCACAAAAGCGGGTTAGGGTCCCTTGTTTAGTGACCCGAATTAGAAGGCAGACTGACACGGCCTGACCTGAAGTTACCACCGGGCCACTTATTTTCAAACCAATACTTTGAAATTAATGTTGATTCAGACGGTTGAACAATTCAAATCATTTAAATCAGACAGTTAAACATGTATTTTTAAGAAAAACCATTAACTTAATCAAAGACCAATTGACCCGGGTGGTTGAACCATTCACCCATCCGACCCGTGGTCAACATTGACCTGAATATTTAGAGGGCCTTAACCTTCACTGACGCAATCTAAAAGCTGAGTAGCTTGTTGACCCGAAACGGCCCGAGACCCGCCCGATCCGATTGCCACGTAAAATGTCTAACTGCAACCAAGGGACCAACAACTTGGAGAGAAACAAAGATCGTGTACTGAAAAACCGAGTACAGCACCTGTCGTTGCATAAATATAAAAATCTTGTCGTTGCACCATGTTTTCAACGCAAATCAGACGGCAACCTTCATAATTCCGTTCCGTGCAAACACTTTTGGTAATTTACGTCACGGCGAAGCCAACAAACGAAACGAGCATCTTAAAACCCGGTACGGAATTGCTCCTCTTCCTTTTCTTTCACTTGTGTAGTTGTCTTTACTCTTTGCTTAGAATGTACGTGATAGACCAGGTTCCATGTGCTGTCATTGCACGCTTGGTACCGTGGTTGCAAAGCCTGATCCATCACTGATTATAGATTCCAATCCATTGGGTTTTCTGACTGGGTCTACAACTTTGCCTGAATTACGTTGCCTCTCATCTCGGAATTTGATGAACGAACGACGAAGGTTTGGTCTAGCCGTCTAGGTGATAGGTCTCTTCTTATACGGTTATAACTAGATCCAAAAGGCTCAAGATTCTCTGTACAACAGACCTCAATTTTTCAAATAATTACATAACATGCCATTCCCCGAAATCGGCGGCAAGGGTGGTCGATTTCGCGGGTCTTCCACCTCTAAATGGGAGGAAGCGGTGCGACCGTGGATTTTAAAATTAAAATTTTGTTAAAGGTGTTGAATTCAATTAACCATATTTAGAGAGAAGCTGAGGCAGGAAGAAGAAGAGACAGAGACGAAGACAAGGAGAAGAGAGAGAGAGAGAGAGAGACTCGTGGAGCCTCGTTTTCTGTGATGCCTGAAATCAGTGACAGGCAATGGCGAGAGCATGTTCGGAGCTCTCCAAATGGCAGATCGAAGCTCTAGAAAACCCTAACTACATTACATGTCGTACGGTGTTCGCCCTTCATCGTTCAAGAATGCGATTAATTTAGATTTCTAGGTACGGCTGGTTTTTCGCTTTTTTGCGTCTCTCGTCCGCCTTGTGATTGCATGGAGTTTTGGTCTGCATTGTTTGTTTTTACGATTTTTTTTTTTTTTCTGTTTTCGTCGTCTTAATCTCAAGTTTTGATTTTACGGAGTTTTTTTTCTTCCGGAAGTTCTTTTTGAAATTTGGCGAGCTTAATGCTTCAAGCATTCTATTAGTTTGAACCTCTGATGAAAAACGCTGCCGTTTTCCTTTCTTTTTGGGGTAGTTATTTGTGGTTCTGCATGAAAGTTTTCTGTTAGCTGATGTTCGGTAGCTGTTGCTTTCTTTAATTTTAACTGTTATTTTCAGGTTCTTTTTTATAGGGATTATTTCTTTTCGTCAGAATGCCGGAAGCGACTAAATTGTTGTATATAGTCGTCTTGGACGACGGAGAGAAGAAAGAAGGAAGAGGAAACAACTCCTTCCGATACACCAGACCCGTGCTACAGAGCACTCTGCAGCTCATGGGATGCAAAGCTCGACATGCCTTTAAGGTAATAACGATAAATTTTGCTGTTTTTGTTTACAATGTCTTTTGTTCTATGTCTGTATAATTAATTTCAATTTGATTTGATTTAAATGCTAAGTCTTGGTCTGGAGAGTCGGGACCTACAGGCTCAATTCTTGAGTCCAGGATCTCTTTCTGTTCATACCTGTAATTTGCGTTTGTGTGGATAATCTCTGAATAAAGTTGCAAGGTGGTATATTGGTATACCATTTGGACCTACAAACATCCGAAAGAAATTTTATGTGAACAAAGTAGGCTCTAATCTGTGATAGCTGTCTCCATTTGGCAACCGGTTTCTAAGGTTCTCCTTCCTTTTTCCCTCCCTTAGTTCCCTGTACATGAGGGCCGTGGTCAAGGTTTCATGAGAGTCAAGGCCTTTTCCTTGTTCTCTTAATATTTCATTACAAGTAGGAAAGAAGTGTTTGCAATGAATCTTATCTTCCAATATACCTAACTTATTTTGCGGGCTTTGATATTTTATAATACCTTATCGCCAGTTCGCCACCATTTGAACTTTTTTTTTGCAAACTCTGAAATTATAAGCGTTCATGATTTATATTTTGCGGGCTTTGATATTTTATAATACCTTATCGCCAGTTCGCCACCATTTGAACTTTTTTTTTTTTTTTTTTTTTGCGAACTCTGAAATTATAAGCGTTCATGGTTTATATTTTCCGGCCTTCTACATGATTGTTTTTGAGATTATCCTTTCCTTGGAGAGTTTAGCATTTCCTAACTTATTGTTTAATTTATTTTGATTCTTTATTGTTTCTTTCTAAATATAGGGTAAAAAATATTTTAGTTCTTTCTGATTTTCCTCATTCTGATACTGCCAGATTAGTAGGAGGGTTTTTGAAGTAATGAGAAGCGAATGTTCCGGTGATGCTTTGTCTTCAGTGGGGATGGAAATTGCGGGCTTAGATGTTTTGGAAGGTTATTCTGAGAAGGAAAATGGCCAGCGAGCAGGTGGTTTCTTGGATAAAGGAACGGTTGACAACCATTTGGTTTCTGAGAAAGATGACGGATATAATAGTAAACCATTTGAGCTCTACAAAAGACAGACAACTCTTTTTGTTAAAAGAGAGACGTTCTTGAATGTTGTTTGTGATTCTCTCGCCCTATACAAGTATGTAGGTCCAAATCAGAGGGCTGACTTGCTTTTGGCGTGCAGGTACAACATCCTTTTTTCTTCTGGTATTTGAAACAACATTCTATTCTCCAACTTAGAATGGATTTATAGGTATTTATAATCTTAATGTATCCTGCTGTTTCTTTTTGCTTGGTCATTATAAATTCACTTTTTTCCTAATCTTAAAGCATTTTGAAGTCCTGTATGTGGCAGTTAAACTTGTAAAGTATTTTCAATGGCTGGCTCTTTATGCTACATCAAAATTATGATGTTTTTTTCTCTTTATTTATTTCTTTTAGGTTGGGGGAGGAGGCATCTATATGGGTTGATGCATGATGGATAAGGGTTTGCATTATGGATCTGGGTTTAGCTTTTCCAGTAACTATAATACTGGACCTGGGAGAAGCATTTCACAGTTGTCAATAGGAACAATGGAATTACAGTATGCATTTATTAAGAATACAAATATAAATGCATCTGTTGCACATATGTCAGTGAATTCCTTGGGCATTAAATGTAATAGTCCACGGTTGTGATGCCACATTATTGTGTTCTATATGTGTCTTCAGCCACTAACGACCTGACTAACACTAAATTTTCTATCAAAATAGAGAAAAGGATGCATACAGAGTTGAAAATACCATATATTATAACGTTTGAAAATTTTAATTGCTGATAAAATGTCTAGAATATACCTATTTATAATTACTTTTCCACTTACCTTTTTCATACAACAAAAGTAGCACTGTGTCAGTTCATCAGCAGTTACTTTTTTTTGTCAATTTCGTACAAGAAAAGCATCTTAACCCATGGTGAATTGAAGTGCACATTTTAGATCCTGGACCAGTGAGACCAAGATACTGTAATGCTTAGATATGGATTTGGAACTATGGATGTGGATAGGAGAAATGAAGATGCAATTCTTTGTTTCTCAAAATTCAAAACCCAATACATGGATATGGATACAGAGTGGAATCAGGGGTTGTGGAGTTGTGAGGCATAAGTTGCTTATTTCTAATAAGAACATCCTAAGAATTTTAACACACTGTTGTTAATGAAAGGAAAAGGAAAAGCAAGCAGTTACTAGAATTGATTAGTGACTTTCTCATTTCCAACTAATACTTGTTAGTTCCTAAAATTGCACAATTGTCATAATAAGTTGCCTAAAAATCTAAGTATACACATACATTGATGGCACATTACATATCTATTCATGAGTACTTAGATAACATAGAAATAAAGCAACTTGCCATTATGTATTCTCTCTGAAAATGCCTTGTTGATTATTAACTCTTCCATAAAGCAAGGAAAGAGAGATTAAGGAAAGACATCAAACTATCATTTACTTTTGCTGAAGAAGAGAAAAAGCGAAAAATAAGGAAAAAACCAACTCCCTGAAAAAAAAAATACACTATATTCATTCAATCTTAAAAGAAAATGTAAGCTATCCACAAGTTGTGTTGCTTGTAACTGTGTCAACTGTCAACCGTACACGTTTTAAGAGACTATCACAGAACTGAATTTCTCAAAACAGGAAATAAACTAAATTTATGGAATGGGAGTATATCATTAATCAACTTGAATCTAATCATTGAACTTGTTTTGATTATTACCTGTAACTATGTCAACTGTACAAGGTTGAAAAAACTACAATAGAAGTGATGGGACTGAATTGCCGGAATCAGGAAATAAATTTAAATTGTGGAATGGGAAAATCAATGGCTTTCAATCTATGAATTATGGCTTGCATCCATGGGCATTGCACTTTTTTTGGCTCCAAACTTCTATCCCCCAACCCTGCAATTAAAATTTTGTCCAGATATGAATTCAGTATTCTTTTATCATATTTATTTATGTTCTTTGTCTTCATCTAATGTTCTCTTTTCTTCTTGTAGAATCCGAGAAAGAAAGGAATCTGTGACTGTGTTGTTGTGTGGGACAAGTGGGTGTGGCAAATCTACCTTGTCTGCTTTGCTGGTATTCTACACTTTCCCTGAAGAGGCATTTTTTTCTATAATTTGAATGTAGAAAGTTGATTATTATTTCTTATTTCTTCTCATTTTTTGCTAAACCTAACAATTATTTATTTGATAAAAAAATTAATTTGAATTAGGATATGATATGCTGAAGGTGTAAACAGGAATACTTGGGATCAGTCAACCCCATTGGAAACATAAAAAGTTTAACATGAATGTAACATCTATAATATTTCTGCTAAACCCAATAGTTTCTTTTGCATTACATGTCTACTCTTACAACACACCAAAATGGCAAATAGTCCTTCCCAGAACTTGTTCGTACAAATTTACATTTGGTGTATGCCATTCTTTATTTAACATCTAATTCACACATTCAACCTGTAGATATGTAATTTCTATGCATTTTTAGTTAGAAATTTGAGCCTTAAGCATGTTTTCTCACAGGGTAGCAGGTTGGGCATCACAACTGTAATTTCTACAGATTCAATTAGGCACATGATGCGTAGCTTTGTTGATGAAAAGCAAAACCCATTACTCTGGGCATCTACATATCATGCTGGGGAGTTCCTGGATCCAGTGGCAGTTGCAGTAGCAAATAGCAAACGGAAAGCAAGGAAATTAGCACATGTTTCTTACTCACAGTCCAAGGATGAAATCTCTAATGGAACTGGACCTGATACCAGGACACCGGATGTAGGTCCCAGTACTACTGAACTGATTGGAACAAAACAAATGGTGATTGGGGGATTTAAAGCACAAAGTGAGATGGTAATTGACAGTCTTGATCGGTTGATAACTGCATGGGAAGAAAGAAAAGAATCAGTAGTTGTTGAGGGTGTTCACTTAAGCCTCAACTTTGTGGTGAGTAAATTCTGTTGGAAATGAATAATCTTTGTACTCCCTTCTCTTTCTTACTGTTTTTCATGTCCCTAAAGGAAAAGGTAGGGAAAGGAAGGGAAATGTAGGGGAACCTTTACAAACTTTGTATAGATTTCCCTAGCTTTCCCTTCCTTTCCCTATATTTTCCTTCAAACCAAACATAGCCTAAACAAATGGTTCTTGAGGGATGAATAGGATAAATCCAATTGTTCTTTTAATCTTATTATTATATTGATGAAACTTTCTATCAAATGGTAGTGATTGACTGATCATTTAGTTGGAATTAAATTATGAATTTCTTCTTTTAATTTTCTATTAATTGGTGAAAAGGGAGATTGTTACATAATATTATTTAGTGCAATTGCTTTTTGTAACATAAAACTATGCTTCTTTTGTTCTTTGAATACTCAGTGGCAAGTACTTGTATAAATATATACCACGGCCATTGATAATATATATATATATATATATATATATACCACGGCCTGCCTTTCAATGAATCACACCTAGAAAATTGGGTAGTTAAGGATGAGCTGCTATTGAGACAACCAATCCATTTCATTCTTTTGGATTGTCAAAGGAAAGAAGGAGACAATGAACAAGAGAAAAAAGATCTGTTAAATTCCTGGTTATTATTATTATTATTTCTTTCCCCTAACTTCCCTCTGTGAAAAAATGGATTCTGTGCATGGTTTTATATCCAACATTATATGGTTGTTAAATATGGTTTAACTTGATCTCCTGGTAGACTTGATTTCAGCCGAACTAAGCCAATTGGGGGGCTGAGGGGTGGGGGTGGGGGGCAAAAGAGATCATTTCAGTTTTCCAGAGTTCTGCAGTAGTGTAGCATAATTTGGATGTTCTGACTGCAATTAATTTTCTGACTTGCCAGATGGGGCTTATGAAAAAGCATCCTTCAATAATTCCATTCATGATTTACATCACAAATGAGGATAAACACTTGGAGAGATTTGCAGTTCGTGCAAAGTACATGACACTAGACCCAGCCAAAAATAAATATGTGAAATATATCCGCAATATCAGAACAATACAAGAGTATCTCTGCAACCGTGCCGATAAGCATCTGGTTCCCAAAATAAACAATACCAATGTTGACAGGAGTGTTGCAGCCATCCATGCTACAGTCTTTAGCTGTCTTCGCAGACGTGAAGCAGGGGAGCAGTTGTATGACTCTGCTACAAACACAGTTGCTGTGGTTCAAGAGGAGTACAGAAATCAGTGTGCTGCCAACTCATTAAGTTCCAAGGGGATGTTTCAACTGATCCAGAGAATAGGGTCTTCTAGGCATCTAATGGCTCTTCTCAATATTGATGGCTCTGTGGCGAAGGCTTGGCCTGTAGATTCAATTGTTGATAGTGGCAAATTGATCACGTCCCCTGAGAAAGGCATAGGAACTCCTATGTATGGACCCTTACAGATTGATAAGGCGGAACCAGTTAACCTTCAATTTGGTAGCTTTGGAATTAGTGCTTGGCCCAGTGATATAGGTGGTACAAGTCACACCGGAAGTGTTGATGAATCAAGGGCTGATGAGACTGGGAGCAGATATCATTCTTCATGCTGCAGCTCTCCACGGATATCTGATGGACCTGCCAAAGAGGTACCACCTACTCTCCTGACTCGGTCACTATTTGTTTTATGCTGGATTATATTTGAATTACTTTCACTTGGAAGATGTAGTGGCATGTGAGTTGTGAAATATGATCAGGCAAACACAGCAATGTTGATCATACATCAATATTGCTGGGGCCTGAGATATAGGTCTTTTGTTAGCCTTCATTTTCTATTACACAATGGTTGTGGATTTAACCTCTTTTGTCCCTTGTGTTCTACCCTCATACTTCCAGCTCAAAGAGGAACTTTCAGTTTCTGGTAGTGATGAAGAAGCTGATGATCCAACTGAAGCGGGAAGTGATGAAGATCTAAGTGATATAGATGACAAGCGAATTGACGAAGAGGTATGCTTGAGTATAATATGATATTCTGGTTTTTTGTCATTTTTTGATATATAAGAGGTTCAAGTCTAGTTCGTATCAGTATACCCCTCTCAAGAAAATGTTGGAAGCATCTCAAAAACTAATGTTTTATCTCCGCTTTGAGATGATCCGTAAGTACCAATTCTTTTTTCATTTTTTGCTGCAATTTTTAATCCCGTACTTTCAGACATTTTTACTTCTTTCCAATGGAAAAAAATAAATAAATGGAATTCTTGTCGAATTCTGTTACTGCAAGTGACTAGGTGTTTGAGTCTACAAGACTATAAGCCATTACCCAAATTTGGTTCCAGCTATTTGGGGTCTTTCGAGGGGTACTGGAACTACAAATTCAGCTTGAGGCAATTTAGCTTACTTGTATGTGGGTCACACGCCATCCTTTTTCTGGTCATCCCAACAGTTTGAGGTCAGACCATTTTAAATCTCTTTCAAGCTTTTTTTATGGTTTTGATATATATCTTTGAATGACCTTAAACGGAAGGCAGCTGATTCAAATGCACATCGGCATCAGCAGCCTTGGTTTATACAACTATATTAATTCGTCTTCCTTCTGTTACTGTTGGGACCTTTTCTTTTTTTCGTAGAAAACTTCTGTGAGTCTCTTTGGTGGCATGATTTGGTTTTCTAGATCGAGTCTTGTCGCTTGAGTGAATTTGCTCCTAGATGTTGGCTGAATATTTGGATCTGATATATTATTGCATTAACCAAGGTTTTAAAAACTGGATCGGACATGGAACCGTTTTAGCCACCGGTTCCTGGACATCCTGTTCTGATTTAAAAAATAAAAAATAATTAAAATAGAAAAACAGTCAAAAACCATTGTCAGGGTCAATGGGTTGATGGTTTGACCACCAACGGTTTTTTGCCCAAGAACGATTTTAGGGTGAAACGAAACCGGTTGCCTGAATGTTTCTGGGTCAACCGGTCTGACCATCCGGTCCGGTCTGGTTTCCAAAACCATGGCATTAACCATTAATTATTTTCTCAGATGGAGGGTTCAGTAGATGAGGAATCAACAAAATCTGATGAGGAATATGAGGATCTTGCCATTCGAGATGGGTTGGAGAATGGATACTGGTCGGATGATGAAGATTCCAATAGGAAACTTGTGCCTCCCCACAAGGACCTAACAACTGACGAGGGAGAAAGTCTAAGAGAAAAGTACAAGAAGAATTTAGATATGTTCATGAAAACCAGTAGTGAGGCGACGGCAGAGCCACCATGCTCTTACTCCTCTATTCTCGTGGAGAAAAACCAGAAGAGCCCACTGGCTGCTGGCAATGCCAAAATGAGAAAACGCTCACTCAGCATTCCAGCTTTTGGAAAACAAGGATCATTGGTCAATGGGCCCATCCTCTCTGGAGCACGATAGATGTAGCGAAATGCTTTTGTTTTTTCTTGTCTTTGTTTTTTAATCTCTGAGGCTTTTGTAGAGAGCTCCCAGCTGGGTTATCGAGGCATCTTAGGTTTATTGTTTTCTTTTTTCACGTTGTAAGTTCTATTATTTTCTATTCTATTTCTTTCTCTACTTGTAAATATAGTTCTGATGTCCCAAGTATGGACTTCGCCCTGTTTATTATCTCGTTTTATTTTTATTTTTTTTTTTTTTTCTAATAACCCAGTGGGCTGGACTGGTATTGTGTTGGTGAGATATTGTGTGCAATTATCATGAACGATGTTAACTAATACTATGGAAGAACGCTGAATAAGCCAAACCACATTTTGTAGCCCGATCTCGGACTGGCCTATTTCTATCGGATTTAATATGTATTTGGGACTGCTATTCATGCGTTGGGATTCTGCCGTACATTGGGACTGCTATTCTACACTGAAAACATGGGAATCCTGCCGTACATTGGGAATCTCTTCCCACGAATTTGACATAAATATGGGGAGATATTCCCAATGTGCGGCTGGGTACTAGGAGATCCGGGTTCGCTATTCATGGTCTTATTGGTTTGGACTTTGGAGCGAGGTATCGGAGATTTGTTACCACGTGGGAATTTTTGGCATTTTTTTCTTAGGAGTTAATTGTTTTAGTTCCAAATAAAGTGTAATCACTTTTCAGAATGAGTTTTGACGAAAAAAAAAAAAGAAAAAGGTTCCGAAGACTTTGGACATCTATAACTGAAAATGATTCTTATATTCACAACTTATCAAAATTAATTCCCTTAAAGCATACTAAATGCAGCATAACATCTGAGATGAAACAATGTGCCGGGTAGTTGTACCGATAGCATTTTAGATGAAACAATGTGGGTTTTCTACTTTCTAGTAGTGTGAGTGGGGACTGATAAGATACAATCATACAAGTAGTAGTCAATAAATCAACTGGTTTCTGTTTTTTTTTTCTCGTCATTTTAGGATTCAAAATATTGGTAAAGTACTAATTTATATTAACAAGGGTTGGAAATGGATTACTATACGTTTTGATTAAGCATGTATACGGTGTAGGATGCAACTTGGGTGGCCCAGCCTAAGCCTGAAACCGACCAGCCCAGTTTTACATGGGCTGGGCTCAGATTTTTAGACCTTGGACTGGGCCCTGGCCTAGTCCTTAGGTAGTGCAAATCTGGCCCAAGTCCAATCCAATTATACACATTCATACATATATGATATATGCATACAGATTCACATAGATGCATATATACATGTATAATTTTAAAACTGGTTCATTGACCAACACAAGCCCGGCCCAGGCCTGAGTCCAACCTGAGTGCATCAAATTACAATGCGGGCTGGGCTTGGGTTGGGAAGACGGGGCTCAATTTGGGCTTAGCCTTAAGCCTAAATTTTAGGGTTGGGCTTAGGTTGACCACAAATCTCACCCAACCTGCCAAACTTGCACCCATAATACGGTGGAAAGATTTGGACATTTAAAGATAGGGGTGCAAGTTGGCCAAGGTCGTGGGCTGGGTTTATGGTCTCAGGCCCAACCCTAAGATTTGGACCTAAGGCCCAAGCCTAGATTGAGCCTGAGGTCAAGCCTGATCTTCCCAACTCAAGCCTAGCCTGCACTGTAATTTGATGCATTGAGGTTGGATTCGGGCCAGTATGGGCTTAGGTTGGTTAATGAGCCCATTCTAAAATTACATGTATGTATGTATGTATTATATAAGTTTGACTATCATATTGGAAAGACATGATACTAGAAAAATTTACAGCCAATCAACCGGTATCATAGAAAAACTTCCTTTTTACAAGTGTTTTTGCAGAAACTCTAACATGTGTCCAGGATGAAGAAGCTTCGAATGGAAATATGTTGAAAAAACAGTCATCTACATTTACTAAAACCCACCCATAGTTTATATTTTATTGAAACCAATTTATTTAATCCTTATGTTAAGAATCCTTTGTATTTTTGTCTAAAAATGGTAAAGTGACCATATAAATAGAGTGGAAAATGTTTGAGGGCATGGGTCCATGCTTTTTTATTCCAAAAGTGTCCTTAAAACGACATATCAGGCTTATAGAAAGAAACAAGGTTTGATTTTCATATCTATCAAAGAATGTTTGGCTTCAGCAGAATGAAAAGAGAGAACAATGGCAACTAGGGTTTCTTTGTCAGCAATTTGTCTTCTTTCTTCAAATAGACAACAAATTTTACCAAATAGAATATGTGTTTGGTTCCGTTTACGTTTTTTCATTCAACGTTTATACTTTATTTTCTTGCAAAACCAAGAAAGATAATAATTACAACCGTTTATGACAAATAGGTGCCACTAGGCTCCACATAGGCGTAACAGTGAAAAAACGCCTAACTGTTTGTGGAAGCTTTAAAAAATAACTTCCCTAAACGGTAGGCGTGCACAAAAACTGAAGTCCACTTTTGCCATTCTCGATGCATATAGAAGAGCAAAACTGCTGAAGTGGCACCTATGTGGCAGTGTTTACTGAATAAACGCCCATGGAACCAAACACCCTAAGAGTTGTTGCCTGCATTTTACTAGGGACAAGAGTGATGTTTCATTTTTGTTTTCTGTAGATTCAATTTGTTTAAAGGGATGTTAAGGTCAAAATTGTTATTTTCCACTTCCATTAGGTCAATTAATTACAAACTATAGGGTGTGTTTTAGTAAAATTCAAGTTAAAGGATAGGCTTTAGTAAATCTATGAAATTACAAGTGTTTTAGTAAATAACCCTTAAGAAAATGAAACAAATATAAACCATTCCGCCAACATGTGATCTGTATCGACCCATATCAACCAAAACAAGTAAAAATACAGTGCGATATGGATGATTTCAACCAACAACCATATCCCTATGATTATATGGATGATTTATACTGAGCATATTGTATTGATATTTTGAATCTTACTCTTTTTTTAAGGCTATTTTAGATCATGCTTTGGGTACAAGGGGAGAATATAAGTAGGTTTTCAATTCATTTGAGATTCAGCTGGTAAAAGTATTATGCTTTTATATCTGGTAAAGTATGCTCGCAATTCAGAAGTCGAACACAAAAAACTTCAGGATTTTTTTCCAGTTTTTAGGAAAATCCATGATCTATTAATACAAAGAAAAAGCATCATATATCCAACAACAAACCAATATATCTATGCGTCTCAAGCATCAAAATATGTAGATTTATAATTTATTATTGAATTTTAAAAGCTTAAATGATTGCATTATTATTTTCCTTTCGGACTCCCATGAGTTTCGACCAATACAAGTTGAATAAGACGTGATACAAACGATTTGGGCACCAAAGCCACTCCACTTATGTGACGTGCCTGTCTCTATTATAATTGATATAATCGACTGAATTAAGTATATAGTATTGATTTAAACCTTGCCTCTTTTAGTGGTGGGGATTGGGGAAGCATGTAATTAGTTTTTTTTTTTTTAATTCATTTGGGTATCAGCTGGTAAAATTAAGACTATTACATAGTAATAGCCAACATACATCTGGTAGACACAGCTCACAGCTCTCCATGATGACATCTAAACATGACAGGGAATTGATGGTGGCCAAAGAGCTCTCAGAATCGGAAGACGATGGAGTCCGTTAGTGATAATGTTTATAGTGGCGACGGGAGTTCAGTCAAGTCACCAGAAGGCAGGAAGCCCACAGAGAATGAAGATGCCCAAACCAGACAGACCTCTTGGGCTTGACGAGGTGGAGCAGGAGGAGAGTGAATCCCAACAGTGTGGAAGGATCATTTCAGATTGGGTAGTGGCAAATATTAGATCAACTTCTTCGGTGTATCTTTCGGACACGAAGAGGAAGTTCTGGCACAACTCTCAGCAATTGAAAAGCATAACAACGGTGAAGGAGATGAAGCATTAAATGCCTTATGCACAAAGCACTAAAGTTGAACATAGAAAAAGAAGGCTGAGATGGACCCTACAAGAGGGGAGCAACAATGGTGGTGTTGGGGGTGGAGGACAAATTACATGATGTAACAAGGTAGAACTAGGGGAGCCAGAAGGGGATGAGGAACTTGATGAGGGCAGATTTGGCCCTCCAGTGAAATTGTGACACCTGGCACCTCATGCCAACTAAGTGTAGCCTCTTGACCATAGGCAGCTCGCCATAGGCAACTCGCCATAAGCAGCTTGCCATGGGCAGCTCGCCATAAGCAGCTTGCCATGGGCAGCTCGCCATAGGCAACTCGACATAAGTAGCTTGCCATGGGCAGCTCGCCATAAGCAGCTTGCCATGGGCAGCTTGCCATAGGCAACTCGCCATAAGCAGCTTGCCACAGGCAACTCGCCATAGGCAGCTCGCCATAAGCAGCTCGCCATAGGCAACTTGCAACTCGCCATAAGCAGCTCGCCATAGGCAGCTCGCCATAGGCAGCTCGCCATAGGCAGCTTGCCATAGGCAGCTCGCCATAAGCAGCTTGCCATAAGCAGCTCGCCACAAGTAGCTCGC